GTGCTCTTAGAGAGACCTCTGCAGAAGCTGAGCTCCAGGTCACTTGTCCAAGAACAGAGGGGAATCAGCTTCCTGTGGCAGCTGGACAAAGGACTCCAAACTGGGTGACATACGGCAACAGAAATGTATTCTCTCACAGTTCTAGAGGCTGGACGTCCAAAATCAAAGCTTGGCAGGGTTGGTTCCTTCTGGAGGCTCAGAGGGAGAGTCTGCTCCAGGTCTCTTCCAGCTCCCGGTGCTGCCGGCGCCCCTTGGCCTTCCTCGGCCATGGCTGTGTCACTCCAGTCTCTGCCTCTGTCATCACACGCCCTTCTTTCCTGTCTCTGTGTCTTAAATCTCCCTCAGGCTTTCTCTTTAAGGACACCCATCATTGGATTAGGACCCACCCTCAGTCCGGGATATTCTCATCTCGAGATCCTTAACCTAATTATATTTTTCCAAGAAACTTATTTCCAGTATGGTTACATTCATAGGTCCTTTTTTGCGGGGTTGGGGGTACTATTCAACCCACTACAGAAGGAAAGACTCTTCAAAACGGAAAACCCCAGAGCCAAGTCACTTGTGCCGTCCACCTTCCCCTTCATCCCACAGGAGTCACAGAAGGAAGATGCCAGGGGTTGAAAATTCCCCATTGAAGGGGATTTTGGACATGTTAGGGAATCTTCGTTTTCGGCCCCTTTATCTTTTTCATGGGTCTGGGTTTAGCATGGCAGAGAAGTGAGATTTGGAAAATGTTTACCCCGGTCTCCTTTCTCTTTCCATTTGCTGTCTGACTAGTGACCAGCAAGTGTGGTGACACAGAGTTAAATAAAAACAGTTCTCACCTGAATGTTCATAATGTACTCAGCATGATCTCATTTAAGCCTCCCACAAGTGAGGCAGACACAGTGATGATCCCCATCGCACAGTGAGAACTGAGGCTTGGCCCCAAGGTTATCCATCTGGCTTGTGGGGGGAATCTGGACTGGAACGCAGATGTGACCCTGGCTGGTACCTATCATCATGATGATAATCTGTTGGCTACTGGTCCATTTGCCCTACTTCCAGGAACTGCCACCAGTCCTCCCATCCTCAGCATGGACTTGGGGATATGCCACAGCCCAAATCTGGGGCTCAAGGATGGCACAATCCAAGCACAAACCAATCAGAGCAGCCCACTTCCTCTGGCCTCAGCGACTGGTTCAGGGGAGGTCACACTGTCCAGTCAGAGCCCACGAGATACAGGGATACTTTTCCCGCATGTCCTAGTAAAAAGGGGCTTTTCCTCCCTGCCCTTGAGTCTTGTAAGGTCTGGAGTAAAGCCATCTTCCAGCCCAGAGGACAGGCTCTTCTGAGGTTAAACCCACGCCCAAGATGTGAAACTGAGAGAGAAAGAGAGAGGCACCGGGTCCTGCTGACATTCTTTGGTCCCCTGGACAAGCTATGCTTGAAATCTAACACACCCTGGACTTTTCCTAAGATGAGCCAATACATCTCCTTTTGGCTTAAGCCAGTTGGCTTTTCATGAGTCATTTAATTCCACACCCATGTTCTTGCTGAGCAGGGAATGGAGAGTTTATCTGGAAGGTTCTATCGCCCTGCTAGCTTCTGGAGCCTTGTGCTCTTCCCCTAAATGGCCCGTAGCTCAGGGAGCTCCTCTGTATCCATTTCTCCAACCAGCGGGGGTGACGAGCTTGCAGAAAACACGCCTTCCACCCTGTGAAGGCAGCATGTTTATAAAGCAAGTGGCTGCAGAGATCAGTAGATAAAAGGCCATCAATATCCTGGGGTCAAGAGCCAGTTACCTGCAGCAAAAGTCTAAATCAAATGGAAGGTCATCGAGAACAGGTGTCTTGTGGATAAGAAATGGGGCTTCTCTGCCCCTCCCCACTGTGTAAAGTCTGGGGGGCCCGGGAGAGGGAAAGCTCTTGTTTCTGCTGCTGCCTCCCAGAAATATCACGCCACACATAATCTGCTCTTGCTGGTTGAAAGTTCTTTAGAACAGGTGCACATAGTCCAGTGGCCAAGCCCAAGAGGTCCTCTGGCCTCCTAATCTAGAAATGGAGGGAGATAAAAGGGCTGGGAGTCCATCATCGCCCCCAAAGTCAGCCAGCTTTCTCCACTCCTCGGACGAGATGCGACGTTTGCTTTTGCTATGATAAGGGGTTGCGTGTTCAGACATTGGGAGGTGCTCATGAGTGTTTCATGGGCCATGCTGGTGAGCGCTGGGCCCCTTTTGTTTGTTTGTTCACCCACTCGTTATACGAGTGTTTATTATTATGCCCTGCTGTGTGCCAGGCATAGCTCTCTGTTCTTGGTGTACAGCAGTGAACAAGATAGATAAGGAGGCTGCTTGTAGGGGCTCATGTCTGATGGAGGGGCACAGACCCTACAGGAGCACGCAGGTGGAGGGCATAAGGTACAGGACAGGCAGCAGCCAGCTATGACAGGCCAGCTGGGTGGGTGGGGAGCACTGCACAGCCTTTCTGAGGGGCCTCACCCCACCCCCTCCACAGGCTCCGAGAATGCCTCTGCCCCACAAAAACATCTACGTGTCACTGCTCCTGCAGTCGGTCTTGAGATGTATTTCCTTCTTCAAGGTGTTTTTCCTGTTTTACACATTTTACAAATTCATGAAAATTGTGCCTTCCAAGTTTTTTCCTCTACAGAAAAATGGAGTAAAGTCTTCTTTTCAGAAAGCATTATTGTGAGTGGTGAAATTCCCCTGGCTGGGCCGCTGCAGCCCATATCAATGCGAGGTGATGTACAGCAATCGTCCCCCGGAAAGTCGTGCTGGACACTCCAAACCCAGCTGCGAGCCTGGCAGGGAGCAGCCTTCTGTCGGGAGGCTCGCTCCTTGCTCTCGGGCTGCGCTGGGGCAGTTCCCACCCTCCATCTCACCCCCAAAGCCTGCAGCTTGGATTTGAAGCCCGACACTGGCACTCACTGCTTGAGGGGGAATGGTTCTTGAACTTTAAAATGGCGATATTTGGAGGATATTTGGGTGCTGTGAGGATGAGGTGGGCTGACACACCAAGTGCTGTGGGACTATTGGCTGTTGCTGTTGTTGTTATTAGTTATTATCCTTATTAATTTCTTTCCAAAGCAACTCTGATCTGTGTCCAGCTTCAGCCCCCAGGAATTCCGATGATCCCTTTGATACCAACTCTTTCTCCACATGTGGAGTGAGCATCGCTGTGCTATAGACGGAATCGTCCCCCTACAAAGTCCATATGTTGAGTCCTAACCTCTAGGACCTCAGGGCATGCCGTTATTTGGATATAGGGTTGTTGTAGATGTGATAACTTAGGATGAGCAGAGTGGGCCCCTCATACAATAGGATCATGTCCTTATGAGACGGGATGGAGGGGCCCTTGTGACCACACAGATCACCCGTGGAGCCGGCTTGGCCCACACAATCTCTGCTTTGTAAAAAACCTGCTAAGGTTGTCTGTGTTGCAAAAACATGATCCCTTTCTATAAATGTTCTATGGGCGTATGAAAAAGAATATATGTTTTCCCTGAAAGAATGAGGGTATGTATTGTATAATGCCTTTGTGATCTTACTTTCTAAGTCTTTCCAATTCTGTCAGGTGGGCTAGTACACTTGTATTTTCATTGAATTCTGCTTACATTCCCAATGGTTTCTCCTTCATGTACTTAGCTGTCAGGGCACTTTATGATGAGGATGTAATACTATTTTATCTCCTGCAGAATCAACCCTCTTTATCATGGTCAGTGTTTCTAACCAGTTGTGATGTTTATGCTGCACTCCTGGTTTGGTTTTTTTTGGTGTGGTGGTGGTTGTACTATTTGCCTGGTATCTCTTTTCCCATTTTATCATGTTTTCAACCTTTTAAAAATCACTTTATTTTTACTGTGCTTTTTATAAACAAACGAAGGAGTGTGTGTACGTGTGACATATACGTGCTTAACTGAATAGCCTCTGCCATTTTAAGGAGAGATTTCGTTTATTTACATTTATTATAGTGGCCAACAAACTTGATTGGGTTCCTTCTATCTTACTTTATCTAGTTATTTATTTTTCCTTTCCTCTTTTATCCATTCTATATTTCTGACAGTTTTACTAAGTTGCTATTCATTCTGTTTGCTCCCTTGTGAATTAATTTCATTATTTTACCAGCCTTTGCCTCCCTCAGACTCACAAGCAAATACACCTTCTTTAATGACCATTTAAAAATGCAGCTTTGGTCATTGACCCCCAAGACCCCCTATTCTTCACTGCTACCCTCATCCCATTGAATACTTTGCTTTCCCTGCTCCCACCTCTCTCCTCCTGCACCCCTACCTCCAAGATAAGGCCTTTGGAAGAAGGATGCTCCATCCCTCTGTCTTGTACCCCTCAATTCTCAGTTCTGGCTGAGGCCATTTGTTACTTCTGGTTCCCAGCAGCCAGGCTTTCCCTTGCGGACGTCTCTTCCATTTCAATAACCCTTCTGTGATGTTTGCATTCCACCTTGATGAGCAGTCTTTTACTGTCTACCTGGACTTAACTTCAGGTGATAACGCTTGGCTGGGGGCAGGACATCACCCTAGGTGACACTGCCTGTCCAGAATCCAAGGCAAGCTCCACAACCACAGGGCATGACCAGAGCTGGGATGAGTTGAGGGGATGGTGTGGCCAGGCTCGGTCATCCCAGGTCCATCCACTGGACCACACGGTTCCCCTCTCCCCTCTCTTCCAAGCCTTAGAGGAGAAAGGCTTGGTGTGGTGCCAATGGGACTTTAACGCCTTATAAGCTCCAGCTTCTCCACCCTTCAGCAGGGACACAGCATAGCTCAGGCTCAGAGCATGGGAGCCTGCAACTTCTAAAACAAATGTGATCACATGGTTTTCTCACACGAGTTTTGGCCGTTTTACATTTGTGGCGTTGCTATTCCTCCTTCATTGGCCATAGGATCTAGAACTTATCCAGTTGGCCTCCTGCAGGGGCACTTTGGCTCCAGGCACCCCATTATGGCCCAGCCCTGGCCACACCCCCAATCCGTGTCTCTTGCAGGTGCAGACAGATGAGCTACTCCCAAGACCTGCCGCAGGTCTCCGTGGTCTTCATCTTTGTGAACGAAGCCCTGTCAGTCATCCTGCGCTCCGTCCACAGCGTGGTCAACCACACGCCCTCCCAGCTGCTCAAGGAGGTCATCCTGGTGGACGACAACAGCGATAATGGTGAGTGGGGAGCCTAGGCCACGGGAGGACAGTGCTGCACTTGGCCATGCAGACCCTGTGGCCTTGGACAGGGCTCTGTGTGGAGGTAGCTTCCCAGGGCTGCAACAACAAAGGACCATGAATGGGGACTTACAGCAACAGAAACTCATGCTCTCACAGTTCTGGAGGCCATACGTTCACAATCAAGTTGTCAGCAGGGCCCGGCTCCCTCTGAAACTTGAGGAGAGGGTCCTTCCTGGCTTGTCCCCCTGTGCATGTTCACTCACGTATCCTAGGCTCCCCACCATGCCAGCCTCTCCTCCTCACCTGGGGAGGAGTAAGGAAATGGAGGAAATGGAGGAGGTGCCTCCCAATTTCTCCTAAAGGCAGGAGGTGCTGTGTTGTGGGGCTGCGGCCACGGTCAAGGGGGACATGGCTCTTCCTGCAGGAGGAGGGTCCTGCAGCAGCACCATCCACATGAGCGTCCACATTGTGAAGGGCCCGTACTGATGCTTTTGGAGGAGCGTGGCCCGGCCCTCCCGCTTCCACATTCACTGCAGGGGTGGGTCACGTCTGGGAAGGGCTGCTCCTAGGAAGGATGGCCTGGTCTGGCTTGAGCCCCACCTGGGACCAGGGCTGCCCTCAACAAATGCCCACATTCGGCCGCTGGGAGCTCCCTCCAGTAGACGCCTGCCTGTCTTTATATGTGCCCCATCCATCTTTTAAAACAATGTACTGGGTTGGAATTCTCATAACAGAAAATTGACCATTTGAGAATGGACAATTCAGTGGCATTTAGCACATTCACAGCTGTGCAACCACGATTCTGTGGAGTTCTAAAATGTTTCATCACCCAAAAAGGAAGCCCTGTTCTGTTAAGTGTCATTCCCCCCACCCCCACCCTGCCTCTGACAACCACCGATCTGCACCTTTCCCTGTGGACTTACCTGAATTGGACAGTTCAGGTGAATGGGATCACCCAGCACGTGGCCTTTTGTGTCTGGTGTCTTTCACTTTGCATAAGGTTTAGGAGGCTCATCCACATTGTGGCGTCTGTCAATACTTCATTCCTTTTTTTAAAAAAATTGTGGTAAAATATACACAACAGCATTTACCATTTACCATTTTTAAGTGCACAGTTCAGCATATTAAATGCATTCTCATTGTTGTACAGCCGCCATCCCTGTGCATCTCCAGGACCTTTCATCTTCCCAAACTGAAGCCCTGTCCCCATTAGACACTACCCCCCCTCCCCCTCCCCCAGTCTCTAGCACCCACCATTCTACTTCCTGTCCATATGAGTTTGACGACTCTAGGGACCTCCTGTAAGTGGAATCACACAGTATTTGTCCTTTTGTGACTGCTTTATTTCACTCAGCACGGTGTCTCCAGGGTTCGCCGTGCTGCAGCATGGGTCAGAGTTTTCTTCCTTGTTAAGGCTGAGTCACATCCTACTGTGACCACGTTTTCTTTATCCATCATCTATCAGTGGGCTTTATTCCTTTTTATGGCTGAACAATTCAGCCGTGCTTTCTCCTGTGCTCACAGCACCTGCCCCTCCTGAGTGGGTCTTGTCTGTGTTTGTGCTCAACGTCCCTCTCCCAGAACACCAGCAGCATGAGGCCAGGGGTCTTGTCTATCTGCAGTGCCCCCAGTACCTTGAGTCATGTCCAGCTATGGCAGGTCCTCAATAAACACCATGAAACACTGACTGGGACCGGGCACACACATACCACCTGTGGGTCTCGGTGGCTGGGGGTGCCCCATGCACACTGCCTGCTGAGACACTGCCTCTCTCCTCCAGTGGAGCTCAAGTTTAACCTAGACCAGTACGTCAACAAGCGGTACCCAGGCCTGGTGAAGATCGTGCGCAACAGTCGGCGGGAGGGCCTGATCCGGGCGCGGCTGCAGGGCTGGAAGGCCGCCACGGCCCCTGTCGTCGGCTTCTTCGACGCCCACGTCGAGTTCAACACAGGCTGGTAAGGGCCAGGGGCAGCTGGATGGCTGGTCTCGGCCAGTCCCCTCCCTGGGATGCCACACCACCTGCAGCCTGGCCACTGGGTTAGCACCAGGGTTGGGGATCTGCTTTGCAGGAGAGTATGGGGGCAGGAGCCATCTGAGACCAGCGTGTGGCTTCTCTGCATCCAGCTCCTGAATACAGAAACCACTGGGTGGGGTGGGGAGTAGACCTCAGCCTGTTCCCATAAGGATGCATCGTTTGGAAGCCCCAGTGTGTACAGCGAGGCTTGTCTGTACCCATCTGTTCCCAGAGGAATTTGAGTCGCCTTGTAATTCTAGCAGGCACAGGTTATAGTCCCCTCCCTGGGATGCCACACCACCTGCAGCCTGGCCACTGGGTTAGCACCAGGGTTGGAGATCTGCTTTGCAGGAGAGTATGGGGGCAGGAGCCATCTGAGACCAGCGTGTGGCTTCTCTGCATCCAGCTCCTGAACACAGAAACCACTGGGTGGGGTGGGGAGTAGACCTCAGCCTGTTCCCATAAGGATGCATCTTTTGGAAGCCCCAGTGTGTACAGCGAGGCTTGTCTGTACCCATCTGTTCCCAGAGGAATTTGAGTCGCCTTGTAATTCTAGCAGGCACAGGTTACGATGCCCACATGCACAGTGGGGACTTCAGATCAGGGAACGCATACAAGGTTGCAGCAAGGCTGCCTGCTATGTAGACTTGTGGTCTCTAAGGTCTTGTCAGTTATTAGAGGTGGGTTCTGAGCACCCCAGAGGCAGAAGCCATTTGGCACAAGTTGGAAGAAATTTCTTGTCCTTATGGAATATTCTAGATCAAAGTGTCCATGTTTGTTCCACACAGGGGAAGAACTGGATTCTAATGAGAAACCTGGAGGGGATGCGGCTGGGGTGGCAGGGGTTTCCCACAGTCACTGGACAGTCAGGTGTGCAGGATGACTTGGAGGTGACCCTCACCCCACCCCAGCAGTGCTTGGGCTCCAGTCCTGGGCAGGGACCTCTGCTCCAGGAGGGTAGGGACTTGTCCTCCTCACTTCCAGACCAGCTGTGTTCACTCCCCAAGAGCCACAGAACGCAGGGTCTGTGTGACCCAGAGCCTGTGGGGTGGGCCCAGGGGGCTGAGTTTTCTCAAGACTCCTCCTGGGGGGATTCTCACACTTGCTCAAGGTAGAGCTCTGGATCCTCAAGAGCCGCAGGTGACACCTTGAGAACAGTGCCATTTGTCCAGCAAAAGGTCCACAGGGGATCCGAGGGGGAAGTAGGTATCCCCATTAGGGGCAGACTCTCCCTAGCCATCCCTGCTTGAGGATGTCCTCGGGCTGGTGCCTGCAGGAGCTGGGCCCCAGAGAGGAGGCCATGCTCACAGAACAGCAGGGGTGCGCTTCAAAGCCTCTGCACGGTGCTCGCAGGCTCCTTACATGTTTCCTTTGTTTCCTCTCCGGCCAGCCAGCTGCTGGGAACCCCCCGGGCTCTTGCCTGCTGTGGACAAGGGAGGAGTAGATCACAGTTCCTGGTGGGGAGGCGGAGGATGGGAGGCAGGACGCAAACTCATGGACCTGGCGCACATGTGCAGTTGATGGCCCCTGTGTGGGCTCCACTTATCACCTGTCGAGTGGGGTCTTAGGGAAAGCTCACGTGCCACTGTTGCCAGGATTCAGTGTGCTTTGTCTGTGAAGCCACTGGAACAAGCCGGCACCATTTACACGTGTGTCAGATAAGGAAGTAGCTGGGACTGCACCCCAGGACACCGGGGACGACCTCGGGTCTGAGATGATAGGGGAGTGCGCAAAGCTTTGGACAGAATAGCATGGGGGGAAGGAGTGTCCTGGACCCACCCGAACAAAGGACCACATGGAGTGGGGTTGTGCTGAAACCACAGGAGTTCATGCCCTCCCAGGTCTGAAGGCCACAGGTCCAGAATCAAGGTGTGACAGGGCCAGGCTTGTTCTGGAGACTCCAGGAGAGGGTTTTTCCTGCCTCTTCCAGCTCTGGTGGCCCCAGGCACTCCTTGGCTGTGGACGCACTGCTCCAGTCTCGGCCTCTGACATCATGTGGCTTCTCCCTTTCTTTTATATGGACCCTTGTCATTAGAGTTAGGGCCCATAGAGGCAATCCAGCATGATCTCATCCCAAATCCTTAAATTAAACCCACACAGGGGGTCCACAGTGAACAGGGGGGCAAGCCCCACACCCAGGGCCAGGCCCCAGTGCCCATCAGCTGAGCCACCCAGGAGGCAATTTTGCCCCATTTTCAAGAGAAATGAAAGCTTGGGGTATTTATATCAACTCTCCTGACTCATTCTTTTAAAAACTCTGTGAAACTAAACTAGAAATTCACTGTGATACTGCCCCCTGAGGAAAATGAGGGGCTGTAAACAGTGCTGCAGAGATGGGTTGTGCAGATGTGATTATTAAGGACTGGTGGGCTGCCAGGAGCCCAGACGTAGGCAGGCGATTGGGTAGGGGACTCTCCCTCTGTGCAGGTTCCTGGGTCTCTGGCTGGGTCCCATGGGGCTCTGGTGTTTTGGGGTCTCTCAAAGTTCATGGTTTTCTTAACAGTTTCGGCTGGTGCATGCAGAGGTCAGGCATCTCTTAGGCAGGTGCAGCTGTGAGAGGAAGCTTTCCCCTCATGCTCCTGACACTTTCCTCGGGGTATCTCAGCCACCCCTGGACCTCGAGTTTGTTCTGAGGGTCAGGCCCCCAACTCTCCCTCCTCTGCTACTCCCATGAGATCCACCACCTTCTAACATATTGTGACATTAATTATATACCATTGTCTGCCCGGGTAATGTTTCACTCCATACTGTTGTGTAGGTTGCACACTGCACAACAGCACTTGGTAGACTTTTAGTCTCTCTGATATATCATAAGCTCCCTGAAGCATGGAGGCATTTGGGAGAGCCACAAGTCTGTCACATCAAAACGCAATTTTAAACTGGTATGACTTTAATTTTCACAACTGAAAGCCGAGTTATCCATCTGTAAATAGCACCCCCCATCCTAGAATTGCCTCCACTAAAGATGCTGCCTTATTAGCAAGCATGGCATTTGCAGGGATCTTTTTGTATCTGAAGAACTTTGCTAACAGTAATTAATTCATCCTCCTCATGAAGCTGGAAAGCAGGTGAATCCTAGGGCTTTGCTCAGGATGGAAAGAATGGTGTGAAGACAGCTGCGTGGACCTCACCAGCCAGGCTTGGAGACCTCGCCCCTCCCCACGCTGTCCCTACCTGGCCAAGTCGCCCAAATCTGCTGTAGGCCCTCCTATCCCTCACTGTAGCATTTGGGATCTCGAGTCAATATGACCTGCTCTGACCCCAGGTGAATGCCAGCTTGGATGGCTTTTGTGGGACATCTTGTCCTTGCAGTAGACAGTGAAGTCCCCAAGGGTGAAGGCTGCACCTGCTCCTCTGCACAGCGAGTCAGCCAGCCGAGCTAATGCCCATGGAGGTCACTGCAGAAAGCTCATACCCTCGGGTCACTGTCTTCTGTGCCTTCATTGCCTACTACTGCCCCCATCTCTCCCTCCAGCCACCTGGCCAGCTCTCCAGCACATGCCGACACCCACCAGCCCCCCTCCCACACCTCCCTCTGGTCATTGCCCTATGCAAGTACTAGATGCCTTATTTAAATCTGCAAATCCTAATCACCCTTACCTTGCCTCTTTTGTCCCCACTATGCCTATCACCTAATCTATGATATCCTTACCTGTCCATTACTGTCTGCTTCCATTCCAACTCAGTCAGGGCCACTGTATACTGTTGTGTAGGTTGTGCACTGCACAATAGTGCTTGGTAGCCTTTCTAGCCAATGTATTATAAACTCCCTGAGGCATGGATTTTTTTTCTTTTTTAGTTCATGAATATATTCTGATTTGTTAGATAGGGTGTGGCACATAAAAATCCTCAAGTAATACCTGAAAATATGTGTACCTTCCACAGTACAGGAAACGGGGGCAAGGAACCAGGATTGGACTGGTCAGAGGCTGGGCTGCGAGGCTCAGCGGCAGACTTGGCTGACTGCATGGGGAGCAGCCCCCAGAGATGTCCCAGATTGAGCCAAAATGTCCAGATGTCCATATGCCCCAGTGTCAATCCATCATCAGGTGTGGGCTTCTCTGGGAGAGGTGGGACCTTGATCATGATGGGTCCACAGCTGAGAGGGTCCCCAGGCCTCCAGAGGTGAAGCTGTCGAGTCAGGAGCTCAGCAGGTGGGTGGTTGGGCTGGTGCTCAGACCCAGGTGTGGGCCCTGGACTTGCGGACAGTTGACCCCCTACCTCCTCAGGGAATGGGTGGGGCCCAGGATCCATGCCCTTCCTCACAGGCCACATGTGCCTCCCCGCAGGGCTGAGCCCGCCCTCACACGGATCCGGGAGGACCGCCGGCGCATCATCCTGCCAGCCATCGACAACATCAAGTACAGCACGTTCGAGGTGCAGCAGTATGCCAACGCGGCCCACGGCTACAACTGGGGCCTCTGGTGCATGTACATCATCCCGCCCCAGGACTGGCTGGACCGTGGCGATGAGTCGGCGCCCATCAGGTGAGCCGTGGCCCAGCCCCAAGAGGGGCCAGGGAGAGTGAGTGGGTGGGAGGTGGCCCCATGGTGGGCTTGAGGACTAGAAGATGCATGTACCCCAGTGCAGCAGGCTGGGCCAGCCCTAGGGAGGGTCATGACGGTGCAGGGGTCCCAGGTGTGTGGTGGGATAAGGTGACGGGGAAACTTGGGCAAGGCCAGCTCAGAGCTGTGACCAGAGGGAGTGACAAGGTCAGATGGGGTGAGAGGAAGGCAAAGAGAGAGAGACAGTGACAGCAAGAGGGAGAAGACAGGAGGCAGCAACACAGGAAGTCACGCATACAGGAGGGGAGAGCAGTACCTCCCTGACACCGAGAGACGCATGCGCTAGAGACAGACCCACACCTGTTTAACCTGACCCCACAGACTGTCCTGCAAAAAGGCATTTATTTTTAATCCAAATTAGTTCCTTAAACGTAAAAAAGCAGAGATTTAAAATTTTAAAACACACAATGTCAGCATCTTTTGAAAAACTGGGAGATTAGACAATGCTGGACCCTGTTCCCCAAGGCAGCTTCTGGCTGGAGCTGAGAAGTGGCCTCTGTGTACACAGGCTGTGCCTCCTCCGGTTTTTCACAGTCACCACTGCTCCCTGCCGTCTACCTGACACCCGGCCTTCATACTTGCATGGTCAGTTTTCTTACACCTGGCTCGCTTAACCCATCCCCATCACCAACTGAGCTTTGCCATTTACACCCCCTTCCCAAGATCCCCCAGTCTGATGAGGCCCTGGAAAATCTATACGTCACCATCGAGTGACACCCCCCACTTCCTCCGGGAGACCCAGCCAGGGTGGAGGTGTTTTTTCCTGGAGTGAAGGTACATCTTCAGACTCTGGTGACCCCTAGAGCCTTTGCCAACCTTTGCCAGGTGTCTCCATAGAGGTTTTGGATTGGCAGGGGGGCCTTGGGCTAAGACCTGCTCCCTACCTCACCTGGACAAACTGGTGTGTCCCTGCTGAAACAGGCCTCTTTGCTCATGAGTGGCTGGGAGCATCCATCATTTCACCTTTGAAAGTTCTCTCTCTCCCATCAGAAGGGTATCACGGGGGCTTCCAGGCAGGTGGGCAGCCCATCGGGGGAGCCCGTGCCAGCCTGGGGCTCTGCCCACAGTGTCTTAGGATGAGGTGTGAGCACCTGCCCTAGGTTGACAAAGAGCCCTCAGGGATAAATTAAGCCTCTGAGCAGCCTGAACGCTCTGCAGTCCACTTAGGGGCATTATGAGATGAAATAGCTTAGCCCCAACCCCATACTTTACTGATTTTGAGGAAGGAAAAGAATGCCTCTATCACAGAGGAAAATGCTCCAAACAGTAAGACTAAAGAGACTCCTAAAGCTGGAACATTCGGCCTCCCAGGTGCCACGCGGCTGTTTCCTCAGAGACCCGGGAGCTGGGCGGCGTGGCCGCAGTGAGCTCCGGGGGCACATGTGAGGGCACTGGGGTTTGCAAGAAAAAGCCGGCACAGAGCTTGTCTACTCACAGAGCACACGGATGGACCCCTGGGGCTTGCTGAAGTGGGGAATAATGGTACGAAGTTTATTTTTCTACACTCAGAATGCACTTGATAATCCCCAATTAGTAGCAAAACAAATGCCTTGTGTTTGACGTTTTGCGAATTAGTGAAATTCAGAGAACCCAATGGGAGGCATCTCCCGCGGTTTTGGGCAGGCTCTGGATGCCCGGAGCTGCACCAGGGAGCAGGGATAGCTGGCCTGATTGAGTCCTGGGAAGCAGCAGTTCCCAAATTGCTTTTTTGTTAGCATCACTGGGGAGCTGTTAAAAACGCTGATGCCAAATACTCAACTAAAAAACAAGCAAACGACCTAAACAGATACTGCACAAGAGAAGATAGGCATGTGGCCAACAAGTTCACGAAAAGATGCTGCACACAGTCAGTCACTAGAGAAATGCAAATTAAAACCACGGTGAGGTACCACTGCACACCCACGAGAGTGGCCAAAGTGGCCAGACCGACAGCACTAAGACTCACCAGCAGCTGGTGAGGGCTTGGAACGAGCAGAACTCTCAGATGTCACTGGTGGGTGTGGAAACTGGGGCAGCCACTTCGGAAAACTGGCAGTTTCTTGTAAAGGTGCAAAACACTTCCTGCTAGACCCAGCCACTTCACTCCTAGGTGTTTTCCCAAAATAACTTGAAACACATCCTCACGCAGGCTGACACACAAGTGTTCACAGCGGCACTATTCACAGTAGTTCCAAATTGGAAATGACCTAAATGTCCGTCGACAGGTGGATCAATAAACAACGTGTGGTCAATCCGTACAATATAACACTTCTCAGAAATAAGAAGGAACAGACTATTTACACCTATCAATGTGGATGAAACCCAAAATGATCATGCTGAGTTAAAGAAGCCAGATGCAAAAAAGTGCATACTGCGTGACGCTGAGCATGGAATTCTGTAGAAGCCAAAATTAATCCCATGACTGGAAGCAGATCAGTGCTTGCAAGAGGCAGAGGGCGGGGGGCAAGAGGGCTCACTGGGAAGGGGCACAGGACAATTTCAGGGGGAGGAAATGTTCTCTCCTGGACTAGGATGGGTTGTACAGGCATGTCCATCCATCAAAATGGGTCAAACTGCTCACTTTAAATGGATACATTTCATTTTGTGTACATTTGACCCCCAGAAGTTTATTTTTAATGAATAAATAAAATGCTAAAAAAAAATTCCAGTGCCAAAGCGGCGTGCCATGCCATTTAAGCTCAGAATCTCTGAGAGGGGGCCCTGGGTGACTCCGGCGTGCAGCCATGTGTGAGAGGCAGCGTGGCTCCAGGCGGCAGAGAAGAACGGCAGCACACAGAGCCACAGAGGGCGCCAGGGGAGATGCAACTGCTGTCGGAATGAAAGTTGGCACAGGAGCCGATGGGGGCTGGGGCAGACAGCATGTGACGATGGGGGCTGGGGCAGACAGTATGTGACGTCTCCCCTGGACGAGGTTGAGGGGGTGAAGGGTCACACTTGCCCTCCACCTCATATTGAAATTCCCAGGACAGAGGCTACAATGGCCACACTTTGGTCACCTCCCGTCTTTTCTGGAAGATGATGGGGAGAAGGGGTCCTCCAAGGACCCATGACCTCTGTAGAGGGACAAGTCTGCTGGATTCACTGCCACACAGGAATATGACAGGGGAGAGAGGTGAGTTCCCCAGAGGAAACCAGGGCGTCTATCAGGACATGGGAGGCATGTCCACGTGCTCCCAGAGCTTGGAAACGTGACCTTATTTGGGAAAAGGATCTTTACAGATGGTATTAAGATGGGGAGATGATCCCGGATAATTCAGGAGTGCCCTAAATGTCATCATAAGTGTCCTTAAGAGACACACACAGAAGAGGAGGCCGCCTGATGACGGGTAGAGGCTGGAGGATGTGGCCTCAGCCCAGGAACACCCAGAGCCACCAGGAACTGGAGGAGGCAGGAAGGACCCTCCCCTAGACCTTCCACATGGAGTGTAGCCGGCCCTGCCCACACCTTCATTTCAGACTGCTGGGCTCCTGAGCTGTGAGAGGGTAAATTTCTGTGGTCTGAAGCCACCCAGTTTTTGGTAATTTTTCAGCAGCCACGGGACACTAATACACTGGGTAAACTGACAAACGTCTAGTACTGCCCCTCAACGGCTCTGCTCCAGGGTTAGGAGATCCCAAGTCGTGCTACAGCAGCTGGCTATAGGACGGGGCTGAGCAGCTCTCTCTCATGGGCACAGAGCCAACAAACAGTCCTGTTCAGGCGAGGCTGAGCTGGAAGTCTGGGAACAATTTCCACGGCATATACTAAGTGTGACAGTTACAAAGATGCCCTCATTTCATACAGTATTGATATTGCAGCCAGTGCTCCGACTTCTGTCCTTCATGTGCATGAGAGCAGTGACCTAAGGTGGCAGAGACCTGAAAGGGGCCACATAAGGCCACGTGTGGGTGTCCGTGGCTATGCTGGCTGATGCAACAGTTTTAGCCCAGCCCAGGAAGTCTCCATGCAACTCAGATGTACCGTGTCCTTCAGGGAAGAGAAGAAGCCAGCCACAGCCTCGCCTGGACCTCGCCATGACACTCAGCAGTCACCACACCGAGAACTCACCCTACTCTGCCCTAGTGGCTTCTTGAGGTGGGCACCACAGACCCCCAGCCTCTATTCTTGGGGCGGGGAATGAGGGGCTCTTGTTCTGGAGGCTGGAAGCCCAGCATGGTCGGATGCTGGGGAGCGCTCCCTTCCGAGTTGCAGATGGCTGTGTTCTCATGTGGCGGGAGGGGCAAGGGATCACTTTTATAATGGCACTGATCCAATTAAGAGGGCTCCACCCTCATGACTTAATCACCTCCCAAACGCCCCACCTTTAAATATCATCATCTGGGGGTGAGGACTTCAGCATGTGAATTTGGGGGAGACACAAACAGGCAGACCACAGCAAAGTTCTTCTAGGAAAAGGCTTCCTCTGAGTTGCAATGTGGTTAGTCTCCTGCACCACATATATTTTTAAATTGAAACCAATGCTTTAAAAAAGGAGATTTCACATGAAAATGATTTCAACTCTCTTTGAAAACTGGGAGATTCTGG